CAAAGTCTGTATTGATGCCTCTCACCCAGTGACCAATGGAGATATCCTGCAAGGATAAGCATGTATAGACGGTGGATGGATGGATTTAGTTCTTTAAAACTGCCAGAAATCTTAATTTAGGTTCTTGTTTTGTTTTTTTCAGTGAAGTCCGAGCGCTGTGCCATCACCTCGCCACCGACCCTGGCCAGCTGAGCTTCAATAAGGGCGATGTCTTGCGGGTTCTGAGGAAGGCCGACCCGGACTGGCTTCTCTGCTCGCTGGGCTCCACCCGGGGTTTGGTCCCCATCATTTATGTGACGCTCAGCAGCATGGAGGACAGCCACAGAGAAACCGGACTCAGCCAGCTCTGATCAGACTTTGTTAGCAAACGGACACTAAAACACGAAGAAGACGCACCGACGTGTGCGAGGTCCAACCACAAACTCACAATCAACGTAACATCCAGAAAAAGACAGCATGCTCACATCCAAACGAAAACCAAAAGAAACGACGACAAACGAACCCAAAGACTCTTCGATGCTCTTCTTCTCGACACCTAAACGCTTAGCTGTGCTAGCATTAGCATTCAGCCTGAATATCACTCATCTGGACACAATGTGAAGGAAAACTCACCTCACCTGGCTGCTCTGTCGCTGTGCTGTGTAAATGTTGAGCCACAAATCATCAAAAAGAGACTTTCTTTGAGATTCTGTTTGTTAAGCTTGTTAAGTGCTGATTGTTATTTTTATTTCCACAAAAGACAATAATCAAGAGAGAAAAGCAGGAATTTACTCTTTAAATTTTTCATTTTACTGCAGAAGTTGGTTGAAATCCAGATAAAAAATAATAATTAGCAGTATTTAAATTGAATTGAGCTTGAAGGCGCCTTCCTCTGTGCTGTGCTGCAGGCTAAGCGGCCGCTCCCGGCAGATTTGCACATATTAATGTTTGTTTTACAGCAAAGTTGTAGATCAAACAAACAAAATGAGAAATAAAGTCACAGAAGCTTCCGGTTTCTACTTTAAAAGCACGAAATCTTGCTTCCTTCTGCAGTGATTGTGCTTCACTTTTACAACCTGACAGTTCTGAGGATGACTGTAGTGAGTTTCATCTCTGTATTTATTCTCCTGGTACTTGCTGTAAATGCATTTATGGCTCATTTACACAACTTGTATTTATTTATTCAGCTATTTAAGTAACTAAAACTACAATTTAAGGTTCATCAGTTTGGATATTCTTCAGATTTTGTGTCATATTTTGTATTTAAAGGGGTAAATATTTCTGCCTTAAAGCACTCAAAAGGGGGGAGAAAAAGATGATGAACCACCTTATATCTGTCCTGATATCAGAATATATTTTCTATATTCTTTCACTTCTTCCCAACATTTCTGTAAAGATAACTAGACGGGGAGATTTTTGGATGTTTAAAGGGAAACGTGTGAACTGTAGCCTTAGATAAAGTCCTCCAATACAAGCCGATTATTAAAAGTGGCAACATTAATGTAAATTTATTAGATAAATGAATGCTGGCATGTTTTGTTTTCCCTTTTGTTTCATTATTGTACAGTTTTTATTTCTAACATTCAATTGTGTTTGAATTGTAAATATATTTAAACTCTTGGGGTTTGTTTTGGCCATAGAGCTCTACAGTATGTAGGTATGAATGTCATTAATGATTTATCAGTGCGTTTCATATTTGATACGGAAAGTATAAGCTTTAGATTTAACGCTAACACGCTGCTGACTGTAATCTGTGTCGTCCTGGAGGTCAGAGTTCACATGTGACCCATAAACATGGTGGTGATTCAGCCAGAGGAAGCAGGAAGGAAGGATTGCTGCTCTTCGTCTCGCTGGCTGCCTGTAAATACCTTCAGCATCAGTGACACCGCTCCTCTGCCCGCGTCCAGCCTATATGATGTACGGCATTATCAAATTACTATGGATGTTAAATAACAAAGTGCTCATGTGATCACAAACTCATCCGGCTCCCGAGTCTTTATTTATGGGCAGTTTCCCACCTGCACGCTGCAAAAACACTGATTTCTGTTTTTTTCTTTCTTTTTTTAATGTTCTGTGTTGCATCAATAACCCAACATGCACTGATGCAACATGATGAAACACACCTTCATGTTTTAGCTAGTGCAAAAATGCAATTTTACCACTAGATGGGGCCATTATTTTGCTCTCTATCTCTTAAGACTTGACGTAAAACAGAATACACACAACTCTTCTACTCTTTACACGCAACAACTTTTTTAACCTGATCTGATTTACACCTGATTTTGATCTGATGCTCATTACTCGGAATATTTTCCTTGAATTAATTTAAAATTTGAGGCACAGTTTGCAAAAATTACAATCATGTCAGAGTACTTCAACATATTTGTACTCAGCTAAAGAAATATTTTTACACAGCTGTAAATAAATAGATCCCTCTTCCAGTTTCTAATATCTACATTGGTGGCAAAAATATGGACTATAACATGTAAAAGATTTTATCTACCTAAGGAAAGCTTTAATTACACTTTAGATAAGTGAAACATCTAAAGTTACCTTCAGTTTGTATGCTCATTATGAATTTTAATGTGCAACAGGCATAAAACTGTCACAACACATGAAGGCCACAAGATGGCGCTAGAGACAAGAACAGTTTGCAACGTTAATCCAAAGCATCGTTGGAAATTAAATTTGGCACAGAAGAAGGAAAGAGCTACAGCAACAGCAGCCCTTTTGTCTTTTTTAATCAACCTTATTAATATATAAGGTTGATTCTCTGCTATTTAAGGAGATTTTTTTTAGGTTTATTAGAGTTTAAATTCACAATCAATCAAGTTTAATTTGTACAGCACATTTCAGCCACCATAATCAAAGTGCACATCAAATATGCTGGCCAGTTCTTCATTGATAATGTTTCAAAAGCAACTGTCAACAGGTTTTAGTCTAGATTTATGGGGACTCTGTGTTTCGGCTGTTTTGCAGTTTTTTGGAAGTTTGTTCCAGAAGCTGGATGCTGCTTCTCCATATCTTCAAATTTGCCCATAATTTCACTTGCATCAAAATGAAGGAATTATTTACTTTAAACAAGCACTTATATCTTGCTAAAAATTTCTAATCAGTTAGTTTTGTCTTATTTAAAGTGTACTTAGATATTTGGACTAGAAACTAGACCAAAAATACATTATAAGATTTTGTTACTGCAGTGCACAAAAAGTGAGCCATTATTTCTCCATCAGAACATCAACCAAACAAACAAAACAAGTAAAAGAAAAAAAAGAAGCTAAAACTGTGTTTTTATAACTAACTTTGAGGCATTTTTTATTCAGTAATTCACACATCCAGCTGCAGTTACATTTTCCGCCTGCAGGAAGACCTGCAGGTGTCTCCAATATAAAGTTACACTTTCTTCTGTGGAAAAATCAAACTTTGCTCAGTTGGAAAACCATGGCTGTGGCTCTGTGTCTTTTTTGGTGTTTTGGGCTGAATTTGCTCCGAGCCATTTCCCACAACCACATTCTGCAACAACCGAGGTCGAACATTAACAGGGCGCTGAAATAAATCTATCGGGACACAGAGGGGGTTTTGTTCAGGGAAATTCACAGGAATCATTTTTTACTCTGACAGTCTCTTCCGAGGAATTCCTTCTGCCTGTGAGGCACTAATATGTGGGATGAAATTCGAATAAACCTGGAGGTCTGCCAGGTTGCTCTGCTAATATAAAAGTGGAAGCTTTTACTCAAATTCATGCCACCTTGTTTCTGTTTGATCCAGTAACTAAAGCAGAAAGGTTTCTGATGTTTCAGTTAGCAAAGATCTCTAATTTCTGTCAAGTTTTGCAGTGGTATAAAACATGAAACTTTTACAGAATGACCCACACAGTGGAAGAAAGGCATTCGAATCATACATAAAAACATTTGACTCATCTAAACCGTTTTCCTGGACTTGACCATCAGGACTTGCAGGTTCTAATCTGACGTAACGCAAGGTTGAGTTCTGAGCCCACTCTTGTTTTGTTTTTACATCCTACTATTATCTGCTGCCTGTCAGGGTTTTTCCAACATTCATCAAATCTATGCTAATGACTTCCGGTTGTATTGTTTTCTAAGCCTCAAGAGATAAAAAAGATTGCCCAACTTATTTCAATGTTTTTACATGGATCAGTTACTGATTCCCCCAATTATCTTGTTTCAAATGTCAACAGACCTTTGAGAAGAAAAACAAATAGGACAAAATATTGAGTTTACATACATATTTGTTCATATTGTGTCACATTTCTTATGTGTGCACAAAGTCCTTCCCAAAAAAGCTGATTCTGATTCTTCATAACAGCAACAATGAGATCTTGGCTATATTTGATTCCTTTTGTTTTCTTGTTAAATATCTTGTCCCAGTTTTTTTCTTTTAAGAAATATTTCTGCACCATGACTCATGGTTTCTCCTTTAATTTCTAGAGAAAATAATCATTGCACCAACAATGGCACTGACTGGAAAATGGCCAATTTATTAACTCTAATTCATTAAACAAGTCCCACTTATTTCATTTCACGGTCTCACACTTGGCTTTTTTTTGTTTTATTTATTTTAAATACTAATGTTGAGAAACAGTTGGTCTCTGCAACTTTGTTTTTCTGACTCTGCAGACTTTTCAAATGCAATTTACAAAAACTTTGTTTTGTCATGGTTTATGATGTTATTCTTTAATTCAAGCTATTTTATACAACTGTTTTTTTTATTATTTAATTACATTTTATTTGCCTGTTTAAACTACTTTCCCATTTTTTCCACCACAGTAGAAACTTTCTAATGAAAGAAAATGAAAACTCTTCTCTAGTCTGCACTTGTATCATATTTCAAACATTCTCATGTTTTTGGGTGCAACAGAAAAAAATACACAAAAAATACATATTTAACCTTTTCACAGTGTATGTATTGATGCAGTGAGGTTTATTAAGAATTATTAAGAAATTTCAGATCTAATAGATAACAGAGTGTCATCTGCAAATAATCAAACACGAACATCTGGGTGAAATAAAAAGGTTTTAATTAGAGATAAAAATTCACATTAATGTTACAATGAAACTTCCTCTGATAATGAAAATATAGGCTAGCTTATGTGGCTACACATGTGTTAGCTTAATTCAACATGTTATCTCTCTGAAAGACTTTTTACAAACAGGAAAGAAGTAAAAAAATAAAATTCCTTCAGGATGCTGTTTTTCGATTGCAAATCAAATTAACATATATACTTTTATAAAGATAAATGAAAAAAAAACAAGGTTTTATTTTGGTAACAGGAGAAACGTTTAACTGGATTCGTGTCAATCACTTGACGTTCTCAGGGAACCAGAGGCTTTTTTATTCACGCTTCACTCCAAAACAGTGTTTGCCCTGGAAAAACACAAAAACAGGAAAAGAAAAATTCAAGAATTTCTGAAGTAACATGTTTTTACGTTCAACTCTGCAGGAAGTTGTGCAGAAAAGTTTATAAAACAACATTTATAGAAGCAGAAGCCATTAAAATATCTGCAAACCATTAACAAAAGTACAGTGATAATAAAAATGTATTTTCCTGTAATCCCTTCATGCTTTGGCATCTTTACTCCATGAGTCACCGCCAATTGCGGTTTTACACCCAATTGAAGTGAGGTGAGGCTTGTCAAACCTTCAGCTAGAACAAACACTAGAACCAACACTGGGTGTCACTTTTCATCATCAATGTTCAGAAATTTCAGAAATATTTCCTTTCATAAAAACTATAATGGGAAAAAAACAACCAGTTTTGTGCAAAACCCATGAAATGTAAATATTGTTTGTCATGTGATTTAAAATCCAAATGGTAACTTTTACTGATTTGATATTCAAAATCAAAAATGTAAGCATGCAAAAACAAGAGAACGTAAGCATTAATAAATGTGTAATCTGATTTTATTACAAGTAAAAAAATACTTTTAAAATTTTCATTTTACATTAATTGCTGTTTCAAAATAAAAATATATTTTTTTTAGCTAAAATTAAATATGATATGATAAACTGAACCAATAAAAGTGGAAATTACCCAAAATTACCAAATGTTTCTCGACATACAAAATAATAACTTAATAGATAATGTTTTCTTTATCGTAGCGAAACACCTGGAAATTCCTGCTGATTATGTTAAACTTTAACCTGAAGACAAACTGAAGCTAAAACAAATCAAGTCAATAAAGGAATGTTATTGACTTTGAATGGAATGTGCTTATAATAGAAAAGGTGCTTAAGTTCACTTTGATTGAACTAATGGGAGAATAAATAATCAGATACTTCCTGAAACTAGAACAGAGAACAGATCATGGCGAAGATTCAAATGAGTAACTTGTGCTTTATGTTTTTATAGTGTCATAAAATAGAACAACGTGTAGAACATTTGAAAACATTATAGGAGGCTGAGTTGGCAGGTTAAAGCCACCAAAAATAAAATATTTAGCTGTTTGTGACTGAAATCCAGACCAGACTTAATATGTCAGGTTCCTTTCCCATTAGAGGCATTTCCACCTCAAATAGTTGTATAGATAAAAAAATTTAACTTTACAACACAAAACAAAATCCAAGATATTCAATTAAATCAGAACGTAGATGAGTTACCTGGTAGTTCTCCGTTTTGCATCTTTTCTTCAGGTGATCCACGTGCTTCATCACGTCTTCCACCCACTTTTGTTCCTTCGTCGGAGCGCAGAGTTTTCTCCCACGTCTGGTCACCAGACTGCAAGAACAACCAAAGGTTTATCTTCTGGTTTCTGCTCACTGATCAGATGGTCAGGATGAAATAAAAACTCACATGGTGGCATCAATGGCGCAGCCTTTGTCCTGGTCACGGTAATCTGCAATCAGCCTTTTGCTGATTGAGGAGTTTGCTACGGACAAGCAGCAGTCGACGGGAACCTGCGCCTCAGTCACTGAAAGGCAAAAAATGAACAGGTCAAAATTTTATTCTTCACTGGTTTTAAATGAACCAATTACAAATCGAAGATTTTTTACTTTTGAAAGTAAAAAAAATTTAACTTTCAACATTTTTTTCAAATAATTTTCTGAGATTTTTTTCTACCAAATTTTTGTTTTTGTAACTCTGAAATTTTCTCTTTTTTTTTCTAGAAAATTTCTTTGCTTAATCTAAAAATTTCTGAGTTTTTTTCTAGATGTTTGAGTTTCTTCTGGCAGACTTTCGACTTTTGAAGCTCAAACATTTTCTGTTTTCATTTATATTCTGTGATTGATCTTTTCAAACTTGAGTTGAGTTTTTTTCTAGGTGATTTAAAACATTTTTCTAGCAACCGTTAAACTTTTTGAGGTCAGAAATTTGCTAGAAAATTTCTAAGATTAATCTAAAAAGTTTAGTTTTTTCTAGCAAACTTGAGACTTTTCAAGTTAAATTTTTTTCCAGAGAATTTTACATTTTTGCCATAAATAATTGTACTTCTTTTTTTCTATCTACAAAGGCCCTAACACATTGTTGTAATTTCACAAATCTGTAATGAAAACATTTTTTGTGTCACACCAGTCATGTGATCAACATCCAGTTATTACTACATGTGATCAACATCCAGTTATTACTACTTTCAGAAACAACAAAAAGGACGACAAGAAGTGAGCACATTGTGAACAAACTGACCGGACTGAGCAGTTTCTTGGCTTCAAACTGACAACAGCTGAAGGGAATTTAACTTTTACAGCCTCCTTGTGACAGACTGTGTGAACAAACCCATGTGGGCGTGTTTGTGACCATCTACAGTCCAAACTGCCGGTCAGATTTTCCCCCACAGGAGTTTAGTTAATGTAAAACTAACATGGAGATTAAAGCTGTTGCAAAACACACCATGGTCTGCTTCTCTCTTCCTTTGAGATTGCATGCAACAAATGCGTGTGAGGCGTGGAGAAGGGCTGGTACTTTCCAGCCCTTCTCAGGTTTTAGTGGTGATGTTTTATATCTCTGATGTGAGACTGAAATGAATGTGTGAAACGGCGAAGCGAGTGCATCGCAAAGTCATTTTTTATGTTTTTGTTACTAGTCTTTATCCACTGGAGACCATTTGTATTCACATATTTTAGCAATATGAATATTTCTTGATATATTATCTTTTCAGGCTTTTTTAAAAAACTTTTAAATAAAAAGCAAAACATTGCAAGTTGTGAAAGTGACAGGAAATTAAAACTGTGAAAACAACAGGAAATTTCTGCTATGCTCTCCAAATCTAGACGTTTACAGAAGCATGAGTGTCAAAACAATGCCTACACATCAAGTCAAACTTAAAGTTGATATTTATACAGTCAGTGCAAAATGAGATAAGTTTATCTGTTGTTTTTAGCTGAGGGAAATTCCAGCGCCGCACCTTGAAGGATGTAAATCTTTCTCTTTCAATTCACCTTATTGTCCTGCTTTTGCAACAAAAGGACCAAATTTTCCTCAGATTTCACTACGAAAATATTTACTTTTTATGTCTGGGCATTTTCTTCTCCCCTGTTTCCATGTTTACTGTGAATAATAGTGAGATTTTGTGACAAAAGCAGAAATATTTCAAGCAGGAACTTCAAACGCATCAATTCAAGGTGCTTTCTTCAAATGTTTTCTTTTTTGTTAAAAGCTCTGCTTCCTTCCTTCCTTTCTCTCTTTCTTCCTTTCTTTGTGTTTTTTGTCATGCTTTCTGCTTGTCAGGATGACTGAGTAAAATGGTTTGTTGACTCACCTGTGGAGCAGCAGATGATGAAAAAGATGCAGAAGAAGAGCGTGGCGTTGCCCCAGGGAGTCATTTTTGCGGTTTCTCTGGAGGTTGACGAACTTGGTTCCCCTAGTGACACTGCAGGAAATCCGACTAGTGAATGTCTCTGAGCACCGGCTTCTGGTTTTATAGCACTGGACACTTTCAGTTTCCTTTTACAATAACAAGATCCCTGTGGAAAAACCCTACTCAATGTATGATCCCTTACAGAAGTGTAACCAGAGCCGATTCTGTATTTTTATCATGAATTGTTGCAGCAGAATATTTGCACAGCGGCTCTATGGATTTGTTAGGAATCAAAGCCTGGGGAAAATGCAAACTCAAAGGATATTTTCACAATATGTGACTTTTGTTTGTTTTCCAACTTTAGCAGTTTTATCTTCTCATTTGTTCCCAGCAGAAATCAGTTTCTGAATGTGTCAGAGGTTTATTAGGGGGATTCCTACCTGTTGTTGCTTCTGTACACTGCAAAAACAGAACATCGACAAGGAATGTTACATCGAAACATTGAAACAGTGTTTTGTATTCCTTTTTAAAAAAAATTAAACTTCATTTTGAACATGATAGTAGTATAAAATTATGCACAAGAACAAGGAATGCAAAAGACATATTTTGCACCACACTAATCTCGAGGAGTTGGAAGAAGAAGGACATTTTTAGTGCAAATATCTTTGTACTCTTGAACTAAAACAAAACTGACTTAAAAATAACTTTTTAGCAAGAAGTCTGAGCTTTTTTAAATAAATAATTCCTTAATATTGATTTAAAGTTTCTAGTTCCACTGAAGAAATATGTTATTGACTTAAAACAAGTTCTTATAACTCGTGAAAAATATATTTATTAATCAGTTTTGTCTTGTTTGAAGTGAACTAAGACATTAGCACTAGAAACAAGAGAAAAATAACTGGTAAAATTTTGTGTTTTTGCAGAGCATTGGTCTGTAGGCAAAGCAATGCTGTTTTAGTTTGATAAGTATTTCCATTGCCTTAATATTATGAAAATTGGATTACAAAAATAAATTAAATTTATGGAAATGCGCCAATGTAGAAACAAGTCAAGTTTTTAGATAAAACATGTTCCTTTAGTTTCTTTTGCAAAGCTGCAACAGAAACACATTTTTTCCAAATCATGTGATCAACAACTGCATGTTACTACTGGGGGAAACGACAAAGGAGACAACAGGAAGTAGTTGTTGATTTTTAATAACTTTATCACATGAACACAATTATTTACGTGTGATTTTATTTACGTTTCATACTTAAAAGAAATATGTAATGGGAATGTAGCTACTGACTGAATCACTGAGGTATGAAAAACATGTCTCACTGTTTCGATTTCTCTGGCTATAAAAAACAAAAAAGTTGAAGGAAAACAAGGTGATTTCCAAAGAGTTCAGCTAAAAGATGTGCGTCAATTTTCAGCTGAACTCTTTGGAAAACATTTCTTATAACTTTAAGATGTTAATTTCCAAGCGATACGTCCAGTGCTTCTTCTTCTACACTTCTCTACTTCTCAATTCTGCGTCAGATTTTCTTCTTAGCTGCAAACATACAGAATCTTCTTGGAAATACTCAATTTTCTTTTATTTGCTTTTATTACTGCAATGTTAGTGTTTGATGAGACAATCCAAGGCTTGAGTTTGGTAATCCATCACGTCTCAGATTAACACGGCAAACATTTTCACTTTAACGCACAAGAAGTGTCTCCAACTTTAACAAAGTATATTCCATCTAGTTTCAAGTGCAGTTAAAATGAGACAAAACTAACTTATAAGTAACATTTCAATAAGATATAGCAGTTTATTTTAAGTCAATAATTCCTTAATATTGATGGAAAAAGTTTTTGTTCCACTGGCAGATTATTTCACCTAAACCAAGACATTTCTTTTCATGCTATGAATAAATAATCTTCCAATAAAACTGGCACTTTTTCATTAATATTAAAGAAATATTTTCTGAAAACAAGTTCCCACATCTTTCTGAAACATTACTTGTAATTAATTTAGTCTTATCTCAAATGTACTAAGATATTTGTACTGGATTTGTGTGCAACATATATTTAATATTATTTATATTTATTATTTTAAAGATTTTTTGTCTAGAAACTAGACAAAAATACTTGGTAAGAATTTGTGTTTTTGCAGTGTAAGAATGAGAAAGACAACATGTTGAAACTGCGCTAATATTCTTGTGACATTAAAATCTTTCAGCAGCTGCATATATTAATGCTGCAGTAGTTTAATAGTTTTTATTTGTAGCTGAAAAACAAAAACAAGCTGCTTCCTTCACCGTCTGGCTGCTGGATGGAACTGAAAACAGAACCCTGACAGAAAAACTGCAACTAAATCCTTGAAATGTGAGGGAAGTTGCTGACTTTAGAGGAAAATGAGAGTTTCTACTCTTCTGCTTTCTGTGAAAGCCAGACTGCAAATGTTTCCTGTTACAATTTAGCATTCAACACTTCCTGAAGACATAAAAATCCTACACTGAGCAGAGGCTTTTGGTTTGTTTTTAATTGCTCAATTCTGTTGCATGCGACATTTGCAATAGAAAACTAAAGAGAAAATAATAGAACCATATAACGTAGGTGTGTACGCCCTTAAACAGATTTCCTGGAACAGGGAGTTGTTTTCCTGTCATTAGCACATTAAAAGCAAGTACATAAGATTGATTGACAGCAGTAAGCCCTGCCCCCTGGCTCTGATTGGTTGTTTTTGGTCAGGAGTGTTGCGTTTCTTCAGAAAAACAAAAGTTGCCCCAATAAAGACCATCCACACTTGCACAACCAGATCACTGCATTTTTATTTGTTTCAGATTTTTCCTTTGAACAAGTGACATTTACAGGATTTATTTCACATTAAGGTGGAAGAAATCTTTTGAAATATCTATTTTTTACATCACAAAACCTAAGAAACTTTTCAACTGCATATCCGGTAGTAACAGTTGGTATCTTTTAAGATTTCAACACTGAAATATTATCAACAAACTCACTTTTTTTCAGAATTTGCAAAACAAAAAAAAAATCATATTTTTTGGTTTAGTTTCTAGTGGAAACATTTCTGTGTTGTTTTATTTCAAGAGTAATAAACATACAAGTAATTTTCCAGCAACATATAGGAGTTTAAGTCAGTAATTTCTTAATACTGATAAAAAAATATTAGTTCATTAGCAGATTATTTAAATGTTTCCAATGTCATAAGTGGACAAATCTGAAACCAGTACTTTCTAAAATTAATATTAGGGGATTATCGACTTAAAACAAGCTCACACATTTTGCTGAAAAGTCACTTGTATGTTAGTTTTGTCTTATTTCAAGTGTACTAAGATATTTGCACCAGAAACAAAACAAAATTGGTTTCTACTGCAAAATGACTTATATTTTTCTGCAGTTCCATAAGCTGTTTCACCACTCAGTGGTGCTTAATCGCTCACACTACAACTCCTCCTGACTGTACTTCCTTGCACTGATTTATTTATTTTATGTAATTTATTTGCACAGTTTGACTTCACAGAGGATGACACAAACTGATACCGAAAGGTTGGATGTCTTTTGCTTCTTGAACGCGATCTGGAATCTGTTTGTTGATATGATAACTCTTGACTTCTTCTCACAGATCTTCATTCATAAACCAAATCCTGCAGCGAAGTCATGCCCGTGCAGAAGAAACAGTCAAGCTTTCCTTTTCTGTGAATCGCTGCTTTGGTGCCGCCTGCATTGAGCAGCTGGGAAACTCCCGGTTGAAGCGTTGACAGTAAACTTGGATCACGCTAAAGGACCAGAAGTGCTGCCTTTAAAAAAATGGGAACAAGTCCTTTTGTCTCTGCAGGTTGGACTAACTGGAAGGTGCAGTTCTTATCTTTTTGATGGCTTTATAATGCAGTGATTATGTCAGCAGTAACTGCTGTGCAAACACGATGCTTTTAATCATTTATTTGTTTGAAGCTGAGGATTATATGAGATGAATGTCGATACAATAATACGCATTTACACGACTCAATAGACGGAGATCAAGTTGTGCACATATTTAAGGAAGATGAACTTTCTCTGCAGTTTCATGACCTTCTTTATGTGTTGGTGAACTTTTAATGGACTTTCACTTCTATATTTCAGTCTAAAAACACAATCAATACCAGAAAGCCATATTCCTGGTTTTACTGGCCTGACATGCAGTAGCATCAGGACTACGATCATTTTAGGTTTCCATTTTAAAGTTTTTGTGATTTGATTTGTTTTAAAGCATGTTTGCTAATTTTTGCTAGTTATTTTTACTTAGATAATCAGTTTTTATTATTTATAGGTTTTTCATTGTATTTGTTTGGGTAATGAATACCATTTACCATGAACAGACTCTACTTCTGGCGTTTTCTCACAACTTTTGCTGTCAATATTTTGTGGATTAGCATAATTTGCCAACAGCTGGTGTAAACTTCTTTCATTAGGAAAAAAGGTAAATCTGTTTTAAATCACTTCAAAAGTCTAATGGATTTAAAAGCACGGAAACAAAGAGTGTCAATATGTTTTAGTTAGTTTTATAAACACACAATATAGCTGCAGTTGTATCTCCCCCATTAATCACCGTTGCTATTTATTTCAGTTGATGAAAATGTTTTTCTTAATTTCAGTTTTTTAGTAGCACTTCACACAATTATTCCACCAAAACTTACTTTAACTACGGTTCAGAAATCAAGTTGGTCTTTTCCCACTGTCAGGAGATGCATCAACTTTGTTATATTTAAACTTTTGGTCCGAACTGCAGCTGGTACAGGAAACACAAGTGGATCCAATAGGACAGTAAAGCAACAAGACATCACCAGAAATTGCAGACTCAAGATTGAAAATGTGCAGCCAAAATGAAGAATTCAAATTCCCAGACATCAACAAATCGATCAACTTGTTGCGTCTAAAACAATAAAATCTTAAAATGCTACCTGGCAGGTATGACAAGTGGAAAAACCCTCAGGGTGAAAACTGTGGAGGAACAGATATTCACCGAACCAGAACCAACCCATATCGACCCGGGAATCTGTTCTGTTTGGACATGTTAGCTTCCAGTGATGATTGAGCAGTAAAAATCGCTGCTGTCTCCATCCAGTCCAGTCATTCAGACGCTGAGATTTTCATTCAGTCTGTCCAGATTCCCCCAAACCGCTTCCAGTTATCACGCAAAATCAGTTAAAGTTAAAGCCAGAATAATGAACTAAAAAATTGACAAGTAATCCAAGAAAAGTCAAAGAAATGCTCTAATCCTCCGATTACCATCGCTGCAGTTTTTAGTGCTTCTTATGTTTCATTGAGTTACTGTATTTTATGGTTACTCCAGTTGTTTTAGTTTATGACTTTATTTTGAACATATTTAGGCAATAAAAGAGTAAAAGAAACAGTATCACCTGCAGCATTACGAGATTTCTCAAATTTATTCTCATGTTTAATAATAGGATAAAAATTTTGCAGATTTTTCAGTCCGTTGTGATTCAACATTAGAAATGGTTTGGGGGGGTGGGGGGGTGCTGTGGTGGCGCAGGGGCCACGTGTTGAGGTTACGGGTTCAATTCCCGGCCTGGTGACACTTGCCGCATGGCTTCTCTCTCATTACCCTCCTTCCTGTCAAATAAAAACCACGAGATCCAACAAAACTTCATTTGTTAAGAGACACAAATAATTCAGCTCCACTTTGAATAAAAAAATAAACATTTTATTGCCTGAACATATAATTCTTTAGTGAGTGATTGATAAATGACAGCAACGGATTCATCTGCAGCTACATAAAAACTTATAACATGTGAAATGCTCAGTTTTTCTGCTTATCAATAGAGTGCAAAGCTGATTGGTTAATTATTTCATTGACCAATTAATTATTGGACGGCAAAAGTAAAGGTTGTCGGTTTCTGTTCATCTTAAACTAATTACTATTAGTTTAACTAAATTAGTTCCCACTTATTTCAATAACCGATTCATCACAATCTTTAGAGACTTAAGGCTTGACTTAGATTGGGACAAAAGACTTTATTTTTATTAGTGTAGGACTTATTTGGAGACTTATGTGGTGCATAGATGCTGAAACAAAGAGATTTGTTTGTTTCAGAATCATCTCATCGTCATCTTCAGCGTCAGCTCTGCCTGTTGGAATAAAGATCCACCATCGTTACTCGACTCTGGTTTCCACTCTGGCATCTGAAACTCTGACAGATTCACTTCATTATTTCCAGAAAATGTTCTGCATTTCTTCCATCTGACCAAAACAACTTTCACTGGAAGCAGATTTAAGACTTACTGGGAAATAGTCCCACCAGTTTCACTTTGAATGAATGTGAATTCATTTTGGGTTTGGCTGAGACTGAGGGCCACAGTCATACCGGAGCTGCAGAGGATTTGTTCTCAATTTGAAAGGTTGCAAATTTATGCTCAGTGTTAAGATTTGGCTTAAGATTTGGCTTTTTTTTGAAGGGTGTCAAAGTCCTGCAATGTGGGAAACTCCACAGGCCTCTGAGAAGACCCGTCGGTCTTTGACCCAAAGGTCAAACTGTGTGAAAGCTCTTTAAAGGGTCAGAGAATCTCACAAGGCCTTCCTGTTGCCAGGAAATGGAGCTCACGTTCCCAGAAATACTTGGAATGATGCTAGCTCTGCAAAGACTCCACAGTCTGTCAGAGGAAATGAGAAAAATACACAAAGCTCAACCCTACAGAATCCAACCATGCAGAGGAAACGCAGTGAAGACAATGAGGCAATGTCTCTGGAAATACAGCTGCAAGAATCAATCAATCAATCAATCAATCAATCAATCAATCAATCAATCAATCAATCAATCAATCAATCAATCAATCAATCAATCACATAATTACACATCAAATTGTTTCATTTCTAATGTTTCCAGCTGGTTCCAGGATGGATTTAAAGAAACTCAGTGTTTCAGCTGTTTTGCAGTTTTCTGTAAGTTTGTTCCAGATTTATGGTGCATAGATACTGAATGCTGCTTCTCCATGTTTAGTTCTGGTTCTGGATGCAGCAGATGTTTAAACCGTTCGGTGATGTGTAAACTAGCAGCAGCAGCTTAGCATCTATTCTCTGAGCTCCAGGGAGGACTGGGCGATGTTCTCTGACTTCCTGGTTTTAGTCAGAGCACCAGCAGCAGCGATCTGGACCAGGATCCATTTGTTCAGTCAGATGTGTGAAGACGCTGCTGCCGGAATGAATGTTGTTTTCAAACTTTTGGAGGATTTAATTCAGGAGCTGCAAACCGAAGCGGTTATTGGTGCTTTTGCTTTACAGCAAGAAGGTCGTCAAATTCTTTTTATTTTTACTTTTACTGTAGTTTAATTTATTTTACTTTTACTTTACCTTGGTTTACTGTGGTTTACTTTGGTTGAGCTTAGTTTAGTTCAGTTTAGTTTACTTTAGTTTAGCATAGCACCTGTACTAAGCTAAACCTCTTCACTGTATTATAATCTACTTTAGCTTAGTAAACTATTGTGTAGTTCACTATTTTATCTCCATTTTATCTCCATTTCATCCGTCACGCCGCTCTTGCAAATATGCTGGAATATCATCCAGGTTAATCGGCGCCTAAAAGTCTTTGAAGGTTCCTGAGCATTTTTCAGCAGCGAGGCTCTTTATCGGGTTCTTCATGCCTTGTTGTGTCTGTTTTAAGTGTTTTACGTGTTTGACTCAAAGGAAAGACCCGGAGGAATCCAAACATTTACAGTGATGTGTTCATGCAGAAAGTCCCAAACTGACTTTCTGTTGTTGTGGGGATGGAAATGAGCCGTGATCTGCAACCTGATCCGAACCCATTATAGCTCATCACAGAAGCAGACGGACTAATTTTATCTGCTTTGCCTGCAATTAGCTAAATTCAACCAAGTTATCTAAACATCTGGTTTTTAGTGTATTTTATTTAGTTTGTACTTGTATGTGTTATTATTTATTCCATTCACTGTCTATTGCTGTTCAATAATAATTCAATCAATCAATAATTGCCTAATCTTTATTTATTTATTTTATGTTTCCATTTATGCAATGATTGATTCATTTACCCAACAAAAATATAAAAATAAAAATAAATGCATAAAGTCACATTCTGTTCCAAGTTTATTTTATTAATTAAACTGTTCATGACATATTTTGCTCATTTAGTTATTTGTTTGTATATTTTTATTTCAAATGTTTTTCTCACCTTTAAAAATACTTTTTATTTATATATTTTTCTAAATATTTTTTATCTCAATGATGTTTTATGCATTAATTTTACGCATGTTTTGATGTCGGTGATGTTTGTAGTTCTTCTGACAAACAGAAATTAAGATTTAAAACAAAAGACAAAATAGAATCAAATGTTTATTCAACAAATTCATTAAATTTCTTTTTAATTTTTTATTACAAAATCATAAGAAAACTTTTTAGCTTCAGTTGTAAAACAAAGTTTTAATATAAAATAAGACAAAAAATATGGACTTATAAACCAATCATCAAGGATTAATTAAAAAAACACAACTTTAGTATCTTTTTTTTTTTTTATGTTTTTAAATTTTTTAGTGATGATTTCGCCTTTTCTCCAAAAAGTCAATGAGTTTCTGCACTCCTGGATTCCCCTCAGCAGGAACGACACACAGCTTCATGTTTCTCCTGTTGACAAACCTGCAAAAAAGAAAAGAAAAAAGCAGATGAAGAAACAAACTAGGAGTCTAAATGTTTCTTTGTCTGGCCTGATTAGTTAAATCAACACTCACACAGTGGCGCTGATGTCGCAGCCCATGCCGGCTCTCTGCACGCTGTAGCTCACCAGGTTTCTGGGATTCAGACGCTTTTCACTCTTCACTGTCAGGCAGCAATCCACCACAAGCTCAGCTGCAGAAACATGAAGCAAAGCTGTCAAAACGACTCAAAAACATGCAAAAAAAACTTGAAAAGAAAATTGAAACCAAGCCAATGAAGGGTGAAGGGGTCCTTTAGCAACAAGGCAGTTCAAAAAGTTCTTTACATCTTAAAGTCACAAAAATAAAAAGTCACCCATTGAGAAGACAGTAGCAAACATTACATTTTGACGATTGGCATAATCAAAGTTGGCTTATTAGTTTAAAAAAAAAAGTAAAATAAATTCTGGATTGAAGTTTTTTTTACTGTGATAAAAAAAAGAAAACTTTGTCAGCATTTTAAATTATAGGAAAATAATAATTTAACCCAGATTAGAAAAAGAAATAGAAATCAAACACCAATTGAACATTCGTATCCGATCCGCAAAAACTGAACAACAAAGAAATATTTTGGAGTGAAATGTGGGATATAACATTCATTCTTCCTCTTACCTGATGCAAACTCAATGCAGAGGAGGCCCAGTAAAATCAGAGCTGCAGCTTTGGTGGCCATTTTTCTGCGTTTCCGGGTCAGATCAGAGCAAACCTTCAGGCAGTGAATGAGGATCTGGAGCTGCAGGTGTATTTATACAAGGTGTTGACAGAAAGTGAAACTTTCAGCAATCCCTTGCTGACTGGAAATGACAACAGGTGGCAACACACTAACATGTCTCCAGGCATTGTCTTTACTCTTCCACGCTTCAGTGCCAGAAGTTTCCTAAAGTTTGGTTTTTGCACGGTTCCTGGCTCTGAACACGCGCTGGAGCAAAACCTGCGATTAAAATGGACAAAGCACCAAAACTAAAATGTAGACATTGGATTTCAGTTGGAAATTCAAGTTAATTGTAATTGGAAACAGTAAATTTAGTTGATGAATTTGTTGCTTTGCACTAAAAAAAAACAAAATCTTTCCAATAATTTTTGGTCTAGCTTCACGTGAAAATATCTTATTACACTTATAATAAGATAAAACTCACTTACAAGTAAGTTTTCATCATGACATTGGTGCTTGTTTTAAGTAAATAATTCCTTCATATGGATGAAAAAGTTTCACTGGCAGATTGGGGAAATATGTCACTCTTCTCATATTTATTCAAAATCAAATATTCAGAAAATGACCAAGTACAGAGTTACTTTGATGATTTATGGTTTGTTTGGATTATTTCTCATAATTTCATCAGATTAAAGTCAGAAATTAATCTCTGAAGTTTATGTTATGGGTCAAAGTCTTCCTGCAGAACATGGTTTTGGTTCTGCACAGATCAAAACTTTGATATTTGCTTTCAGCCACAACTGGAGATCATTTCGTTTCTCTAAAAAAACCAATTCAAACTCAGACAAAACGTACAGCTTGATATAAAAATCTGTGAAATGTGATTATAAATCAGACAAAATGTTTGTTTTGTAATCAGCAGCTCTCTTTCATTTTGATATTTTTAGAAAGGAGTTACTTTAATTTCCTGTTTTATTTCTTTTTCTTTTGTCACTGACTTATTGATCCATTGATTTGTTTACCTCAGTTTCTGGAACTTTATTGTTTTTCATTATCTTTTCATGTCGTATTTTAATTTTAGATAAATCTCGTTTAACTTTATTCATTTGTTCGTGGACAAGTTGTTAAATTCAGCCTTTTTTTATTTTTGTTGTTTCTAGAGGATTTTTAATGTCCCATTTTGTTGCTTTTGTTTTATTTTATGTTATTTTTTTATTTGTATTATTTTTCTTTTAATTTTATTTATGTATTATTTGAAACTTGATATTGTTTTAAAAGGAAATTATAGAAATACTTTTTTAAATATTTGTAATTATTTCTTTAATTGACAATGTTTCCAATTTTATTCTTTTTCTTTTATGTCACTAAGTTTATTATTTATTTTTTTATTATTTATTTTTTATTATTTTATTGCAATATTTATGCAGGCTGTGTTTTTTGATGTTCTTTGCTGAAATTGTAATTTCTCATTTTTTTATTTTAGTTTTGTCTTTTGAATCAAACATTATTCATTTCCATTGTATTGCACTGTTTAAGAATTTAATTTGCTTTGTTTTTTGTTTATTCATTTATTTATTTTCTCATTTAATTTGCATTCAAGAATCACAAGTTGTACAAAAGTCAAGACGTGTAAAAAAAAAAATCACAGCAACCAAAATGTACAAAATGATATAAAACAGTTTATTTAAACTCTGTACAATAAAATAATCACGTTTTGTCACAACAAACCGATCTGCAGCTTACAGTACATTTATAAACAGAGCCAGTTTCTGCTTCAGCCGTTACAGTTCAGGCAAGCTAAGGCAGTTGATTCTGTTTCTGTTTCTGTCAGAGAAATTCAACGGAAAGACGACAAACAAGAAAGAGGAAACAGAAGTTTGTCACCATAAATTAGGATGAACATGTGCAGAACCAAAACTACTTGTGAGTAACTTCTTCACAAGTTTCAGGAGTTTTTCCGTCTTTTCTCCACGTTCTGCAACCAAAGGAGAGAAGAAAGTGAGGAAATGCATTTCAAATAACTTCAATAAATCAAAAGAAAACGAGAGTGATAAGTTGTTTTACCTGTTTTAGTGGAGAGAGTGTCTCCGGTCCAAAGTCTTGATGAGGTTTTTCACCCACTGGTTTCCTTCAGGGGGAACGACACACAGCTTCATGCCTTTCTTATTCATGAATCTGCAAAACCAGATGGAGAAACCACATTAAAATCCAGCAGAACTTTAAGAAAGTAACTGATTAAGCTGAGCAGACACTCACACAGTGGCGCTGATGTCACAACCCGACCCGGCAACCTGAAGCTTGTAGCTCACAATGTTTTTAGGAATCAGACGTTTTTCACTGACGGTCAAACAGCAATCCATCACAATCTGGGCTGCAGGAACACAAAAATAACAAAAATTAATGCTTTCCAATGAGAAAATGCAGGCAGAATTTAGAAAATGTAAATTTTTCTCTTACCTGTTGCAACCTGGAAGCAGATGAGACCCAGGAAGAACAGAGCTGTAACTTTGGAGGCCATTTCTCTGGAGCGTTTTCTCTTCTTCAAAGAGTTTCTTGAGGAGAAAGTTGCTGCTGCTGCTGCTGCTGCTGCTGCTGTGACAAAACGAATGAGCTGCAGGTGAATTTATACAGGTGCAAGAGAAAGTGAAAGTTTAAACAGTCCTCATTGACTGGAAGTGTGGCCTTTTGGCAGCAGATTCAGACAAGATCAGACAGGATTTTAAAAAATCCCCTAAAATAGGTTTTTACATGCATCTCAGATGCATTTGGCAATCTGCTCATCTGTGCAGGAGCTGCTGATTTGGATGAAGACATTAGAAGCTATAAAATTCTCATGTTAATGTGCTTTTAACTGAGATCCATGAAGGAAATTGCTGAAGGAATCCTGCATGTAGAGTAAATAGAAATAGAAATCAGTTCTCAAGAATATTTTTAAAAATGCATATAAATGGTTAATTTTTGATAAAAAGCAAACATTTTTTATTTATATGATGAGAAAACAAAATAAAAATAATCCTCTTTTCACATTTTCTGTATTTATTGGTTTGTTCTCCTGCACACTCTAAGGGTTTCCAAACTGTGGCTCAGGGGCCATTTGCGGCCCTTGACGTGATTTTCTTATAAAGAAACTTTTGCTACCTTTTAAAAATGATTGAAATTCAATTCTTCTAAATTGCGCGTCTTTTATCAACCATGTTTTGCACATTGGTTCAATTTTACAGTCAATAGCAACGCAAATATTCAGTTTTACTCAAGTGCAGATTTTCTCATTCAAGTTGTAAACCTGAATGAATCAACGTTCACATTATTGCTCCTTGCTCCTGAGAGAAAATATACAACAGGTTATGTTATTTTATTCCTAAAGGCAAAAAGTGAGGAGTAAAAATCTGCCAAAACACTCAAAAATATTTTGATTAAACTCAGAAATTTTCCAGATTAAATGTTGACATTTCTGAGCTCTATAAGTAGAAAAAATGTGAGAAAAAAACTAAGAAATTTCAAGATCAAGCTCAGAAATTTTATAGCAAAAACATGAAAATTTACCATGCAACTAAAATTTTAAATTTGCAAATATAAAAACTCAAATTTTTAGATTAATCTCAGCAATTTCCAGATCTACCACACCAGACAAGACCCAAGGTGTAGATTGTACAAGGAGGCCCCTGAGACAGTCCAGCACATCACAGCAGGGTGCAAGATACTGCAGGACCCTCAAGCTCCCAGGCCTCTGGTAGATAAGAGGATAAGAACCACCCGCGGTGGGTCAGAAGGGAATCAAACAATATATATAAAAGAAGTTTACTTCGGGAAATTTTGCGCATGTGCACAACGCAAAACAAGGATTCTAGTTAGTAGGAAATGAAACTTGGGTAACGTCCTGGCTGTGATTGAAAGGCAACGCATTGTAAAAGCGGCAGTTATCAGAGCATTTATCAGGAAGTGTCGCAAAAGATCTGTCTCGTTCTCACCATCATCTTAGCAGAAAATTTTCCCACATTCTTCTCATTGAAACCTCCATTGTTTACGGTGCGGTTGGGGATTTTTCTTGTTGGCTAAACAACTGGCGCCGCTCCAGTTCTTTGTGACAGTGGCTTGTTTTAAGCGTTTTACACAGGGCTGGGCGTGCATCCGAGCAGATTTTCATCTGGGAGTGGAGAGACAGTTGATCGACGGGAGAGGCACTTTCCCGACACGAACAGGTATTCTGCCAGCGGTGATGCAACTTTTCAAAAGGCTGAGAGCTGGAATGCAGACATGGAATTATCTGCCTCTAATTTAGTTGTTTTATTTAACTGAAGACTGAAGCTGCTTCCACGGACAAAGGCAATTAAAAGTTAAAAAAAAAGAAAAATCTTTTAACTAACATGAAATATCGCCCGAATGCAAAAATGAAACAGTTTATTCAGCTGATATGTCACTTGAAATAGCAATAAAACTTCTATTGTTTGTAGATTTTTAACATAATAAGGCATGCATCATTTTTTTTTTGTTTGTTTTTTTAACCCTCCTGTTGTCTTCGGGTCATTTTGACCCGAAGACAACAGGAGGTTAGTCTTATTTTTTTCGTCAAGTTCACATTTGAATTGCTCCAGCAGAAATTCCATCTGAGTTGTGAACACTGTAGGTCTGATTCAGGACTGTTAGATTTCAAGTTTCTGTATGCAGTTGCAATTAAAAAAATGTTTTATAAGGGCTTGTCCTCGGGTCATGTCAACCCGAGGGCAGGAGGGGGGGAAATTTGAAAAGATATCAGTTTTACGGAGATCAGTGATGCCATTCCATACTGTTTGCCTGTCCAGCTGTGATTTCCTTAGTCTTCCGGTCAGTCTGACCTGAGGCCTGGGTTTAGTTATTTTTATTTCTTTTGCAAAGTTCACATTTGAATTGCTTGAGCCTAAACTTCCCCCTGAGTTGTGCACACCGTAGTTCTGATGCAGGACTGTTAGATTAAAGTTTCTGTATGCAGCTGCAATTGAAAAACATATTTTTTAAGGGCTTGTCCTCGGTCGACATGAGCCGAGGACAACAGGAGGGTTAATCAAATTTGT